ATTTAAAAAAAAAAATAAACTATATAAAAAATAATGGAAATATAAAAATAATATTAACTCAGATGTTATAAATTAAAATAAATATTAAATATATATATAATATATATATATATATATATATATATATATTTTTTCTTTAGATTTAATAAATCTATTTTTTAAAGTTAAATTTTATAGAAAGTTTTTTTTAGTATAGTTTTAAATATCAATAATTAAAAGAAATGAAATTTATAAAAATTAAAATAAACTAATTCCAGGTTTTTAGTTTATACATTAATTTTTTTTTTATTTATTATTATTGATGTCTGTAAACATAAAAAGAAAAAAAAAGAAAAAATATATTATTAATTTATATATTTAATATTATGATTTCTTTTATAAAATATATATTTTATAATAATTAAAATAAAAATAGTCTTATCAAAACTTTATACTCAATTTAGTAAAAATGCATTCTAACTAAATAACTATAATCATTAAATAATATAAGTTTATATTAAAGTGATTTTTAAATGTTATAAATAATATTAGGATATTATATAGGTAGGATAATAATTAAATAATTAAAATAAAATAGTTTTTATATAGAAATATTAACTGCTTATTTTTTGGATTATGGATTATCTGAGGAAGTTTTTTTTTTTTCAAATTTTTATTTACTTATCTAATTTATTCGAAATAAAATACTTATATTCAGATAATAGTAATTTTAATAAAGACATACTTAAAATAATTTAAGAAAAAATTATATATTTTGATAAATAAACAAGGAATTTGTGAATGAACTTTAAAGTTTTAATTTAATGAAATTCTAAATAAAAAAGAAAATATCGTTGTAGAAAGATATTTTAAAAAATGAAATTTGTTTAAATTATATCATTATTATTAAAAATAATATTTAACGGAGTTAAAAAAGTAAATATTGGTAAGAATTATATTAAAAGTTTATTTAATTCTAAAATAAAATATAATTTGTAATAAAATTCTTATATATATACACTTAAGATTTAAATTAAAGAGTTTCATATCAATTAAGTTATTAAAATATGATAAAAATACTTAATTTTTTTTTGATTTTAATTTTTATTTGAAAAAAAATATATAATAATATAATTAAAAATATATTAATAATAAAAAAATAAAAAGAAAAATAAATATAAATAAAAATATATATATGTATATATATATTTATATATTTATATATTTATTTATATATAATTTAATGATATTATTAATATTATTTAATAAATACAATACAGAAAAATACTTAATTATTTCTAAATATAATTAAATTAACAAAAAAAAATTATAAATTAAATTAAAGTAAAAACATTAACACTTGAATTTATTTTGTTCGAATTAGGTAAACTCAAATAATTCTTAAATGAAGATTATTGATAAAAATAAAATAAAAAAATACGAAAATCTTATTGAGAATTAAACATTTAATTAACTAAATCTACAATATAATAGAATTTTTAAAAAAATGTTTTAATTTTTTTTATATTAAAAATTTCTTTCCGTAAATTTATTTAAATAGAAAAAAAAAATAGTATTAATATCATTGTTTAAAAAAATAGCTTTTTTATAATTCAAATATTCCATTTTTATGATAATTTTATATTTTATAGTTTAATTTAGAAAATAAAAAAATTAATAGAAAGTTCCTATATAAATTAGAAATTAACAATCATGTTATTTAAATAGTATCTTATAGTATTTATTTTAATACAATAGAATACCACAAGAGAATAATGTTTAATAAAAAAATATTTAAATAAAAACTGCTAAATTAGATAAAAAACTAAGAAAGTTGTTTTCCTGAATTTTCCTAATAAAATAATACAATAGGAAATATTTATAAAATTCTATTAAAATATGACCTTTTTAAAATAACTTTAATAAAATCTAACCTTTTAGAGATAATATTTTATATGAATTTTGATTTATTTTATTTTAAAAAAAAATTATATAAATTTATGTAAAAAATTGAAGAAAATTATTGCATTTTTAGACTGAAATATTTTTGTAAAATATAAAAAATAAAAAAAGGCATAAAAATATTTTTTTTAATTAGAAATTTTTATTTTTTTTTCCTTTTTTTTATCAGTTTTTTATTTCTTATTTATAATTTAGTATTTCAAGTCGAACAAAAGAAGTTCGAAAACTCCAAAAAATTTCGATAATTTTACTCGATAAAAACGAAAGATAGTGCCTATTAAACTTTGTTAAAATAAACACGCAAAATCTAAACAAAAATATATAATTATAAGGCACTTTTTCTTTTAAACGGCATCTTTTTAAACAAGTACAGGCAGAATAAAAAATATTTCGAATTATTTATTTGAGAAATAGAATATTTTATAAAAGTAGAATCATCTTTAATATATTTTAATATAGTTTAATTTTATTTATTTTTGATAATTGTTTTTATTTATTATACAGTTTTTATTTTTCAAAGTTTTTAAGCTGAAAACTCATTCTATTTCACATTTTCATTAAACCAGATTATTTTTTGAAGAATTCATTTAGAAAAAAAAGACCACTTTTATTACTATGTTTAATAAAAGACTTTTTTTTTTAAAAAAAAAATGAATTTTTTGTCATTAATATGTATTTTTTGGAAAAATATAAAATAGTTTAGTGTAAAACAAGAGCTTATAAATTATTTATATTAACAAAAAAACGTTAAAAATTTACAAAAATAATGTCTGTGAGTAAGTATATTTAATTTACAGATTTATATTAGGAAACTGTAAAAAAAGTAATAGTGCGTATTTTGAATTAATGTTTTAGACTTACTAGATTGGGAGATGAAAATTTACCCTTTTTCGGGGACGGGGACGGGGTTAATGTTTTTTTGTATAAATTTATAAATATTAATATCTTTTAGCTTAAAAATCAATTTGTTTATTTAAATTTTATTATATAGGGAAAAAATATTACTAAACATCTTTATAAAACATTTTAAATTTATTCATTTAGTATTTTTAATTGTGATTCTCTTTATTTTTATTAATTATATATACCAAGTTATTTTAAAATAAATTAGTAAATATCGAATTCAGCTTTTATTTTTGTTAATTTGATATATTTTATTTTTTTAAGACTTTTTTTATAATATTATTTATACATTAAGTATTTTTTTATTTATATAAACAAAACAAAAATTTATTTATTTTTTTTTAATATAAAAAAAAAAATTATTTATAATTTAAATATCTTTTATTTAATTTTTATAAGAAAAATATAAAAAGATAATATAAAATTTAACAAACAAACAAAAAAATGATAATATTTCTATTTTTTACTTTAATATTTTGTCAAGAATAATAAGAAGATAATAATAATCAAAAAAATTCTTTTATTAACACAATTATAGAAAGTTTAACGATTTAAAATTTAAATTATTTTTTCAATTAATATATTTATGAAACATTGGCAGTATATTTTATATTATTATTTATAATAATGTACTTTGCTGGTAAAAAACAAAATATTATATTATTGAATGCTTGGCATAATTCTGTAAAAAATATTTTCATTTAAAATTTCGCACATGTAGGAGTGGGTAAATAAGGAGAAAAAGCACTATTTTTTTAAGATAGTCCTTCTTCATATAAATTTTATGCTTCTGGAAGAGAATCTATTTAATTTTGTTTAGTTACATTAGAAGTTTAAATATTTATATATACATATATATATAAATTTTTTATTTATAAAAAAAACAAAAAAGTTTGTTAAAAGGTAAGATATTATTTGGAATTGGTTATTAAATTTTATTTGGCCTGAAAAAGATACTATTACAATTGATGTATATATATTTATATCATTTTAAATATATGTATTTATTATTTATTATAAAAAAGATTCCTTTATATGATTAAAAAGAACCTATTTGTGCAGCTATTTTAAGAACTAAAAATTTAAAAACGGCAAGAGAAAATTTCTAAGATTTAAAATATTTAACATAAAAGGTATTTACGGATAAGTTAGACGATGATGTATTGTCGATTTTGGCAGGCGATGAAAATATGGCTAAGGAAATATTTGATGATTAAGTAAATATATTTTTTGTTTAAATTTAATTAGTATAATTTAGATGTTAAAATCTATAAATTAATATTAAAAATGGTTTTCTGTTATCCATATTACTGATTAGAAAGCATTTTCAAGCTCGTATTTTAATTTAAAAAAAATATATACTTATATATAAATTAATTTTTATTTATATATAATTGATATATTTATATTTATTACTATTATAATATTTACATTTATTTTTATTTTATTTTACTTATTATTATTTAATTTTTTTATTTAATATATATATATTTTTTATCATATTATTTTATTTTTTTAAATATTACTTTATTTTATATTATTATATTATATTTTATTAGTATATTATATAATTTTTTTTATTTATATATTTATTTATTTTTCATTTACATTTTTTTTATTTACATTTATTTTTTCTTATCTTATCTTATATTTTTTTTTTCTTTTTTAAGAAATTCGCATATTAGAGTTGTTTTGAATTTTCCTTCAAACAATTAAGAATATTAGAATTTTGAAAATATATTTTAATTAATTTTCAATCTCGCTGATAAAGTTTATTCATTAAAGTTGAAAAGCAAAGTAGATTATATTTATATAATTTTTATATTTTAAAATAAATAAATATATATAATAACCAAATTAGACTAAAGATGATGCTATTAAAGAAAGATAGCTCTTTGATGATTTAAAAAATAAAGAATAATTAGAAAAAAAACAAGAAGAACTACAATAAAAAAAAGCTGAAAAATTAAGAGAAGAAAGAGAGAGAATATCTAAATTATCTCTTGAAGAATAATAAAAATATGAAGAAAAAGAATCAAAAAGATAATAAAAACGACTTATGGCTAAAAGAACTGTTAAAGTTATGTGAAAAATAAAAAAATTATATGTTTAAAATTATTTAAATAAAAATAAATTTATTTAAAAGAAAAATTAGATAAAATATTTTTTTAATATTATATATATATATATATATATATATATATATATATATATATATATATATAATATAAATTATTTAATTTTTTTTTATTTATTTATATTTATTAAACAAATTTAATTATTATATAAAATTAAAGAAAATTATTTCTTTTTACAAAATGATTACAATTTATGTATTTAAATTTTTAATTTAAAAGTATTAATATTAAAAATTATAATAATTTAAAATAAATTTAGAAAATAAATCTTAATTCTGAAAATATCAAAGAAATATCTTAAAATAAGTTCGAAATATAAATTTATCATTCTCACAAAGTATTTCAAGTTTTTAATATAAAAAAATTACTCAGTAAAAAATAATTCAAATGACTATTATTTAAAATTAAAGAGGTTTCGAATAATAATGCTTAATAAACGAGTCAATTAATATATTATAATTAAGTTTGTTTATATATTATTTATTATTTAACATAAAAATATTATTATCTATAAATACATTTATATTGGGAATAGTTAATATATACATAAATATAAAATAATAATATTGTAATTTGAAATTGAGTTTTTAATAAAATTTAAACCTGAAATACTATAAATGTTAGTCATTTTTAAAAAAAGTAAATTAAATAAAAATCTTGAACATATAATTTTCAGAAAATTATTATTAAGTAGATAGGAGGAATTATCTAGATTAAATTATATATACTTATCTTAAATTATATTAATCGATCTTTAATTTAGTTTATTAATGTTTGGACTGTCCTTAAAAATAATTAAAGAAACAAAAAAATTATTACACATAATAAATTAAGTGTTAATATTTACATTTATTTAATTATTTTTATTTTTAATAGTATGTCATGTCCTAGAAATTATGTTAAAAGAAAAATATATACTGATGATATTCAAAACTATTTAGTTTAAGTTTTTTTATATAGTATTATTTTATCTTTAGCGACATTTTTTTCAGGGAATTAGTTTTTATTATTTTATGGTTCAATATAATATTATACAAAGAAGAACTTTAAAAGAAAATATTTCGATAAAATAAAATTTAAAAAAGATTCATTAACTTTGATATTGAATTAGTTTACTTGGCGACTTATTAATTATTTTTTGGGTTTTTTTTTAAATGAAACAATTAAATCGAGTTTTTAATAATTTATTTATCTATTGCCTATTTAAAATATTACTTATATGTTTATAGAAATAAAATAAATAAATAAAAATAAACTTATTCTTAAGTGTGTTTAATATTTAAAATTGTTAAATGATATTATGTTATTATTATTTTTATTTAATTATAAATTATTTCGAAATAATTTTGATAAATAAAAAACAAATTATATATTTATTAATAAATTTTTAAAAAAATAATAATTTTAATTAAAAATTTTTTACTTAAATAATAAGAAAAAAAATTAATTGATATAAAATAATTAATATATTTATATTTTAAATATAATATAAAAATATAATTAATTTTTTACAAATAATTTTAATAAAAAATAATATATAAAAAAATATAATTTAAATAAATTTATATATTTATATATTATAAATTATTTATTTATATATTATATTTATATATATTATTTATATATATTTATATTTTATTTCTATATTTTTTTTTTTTTTTTAATATTTATATATTAAAACAAATTTAAAAATAAAGTTGTAATTTTATTTTAATAAGTAAATCTAATTAAAAATACAGAAATATGAAATTTAACATATTATAAATTTAATTTGTATTAATTTTTAAATTTTCATTATTATAATATTCAATATTAATCTATATCATCAGATAATTATTCTTAGTCTTAATTTAAATTAATATCTTATTCACTTCTAATTGGTCCAAAATCAGTAATATCACTTGAATGTATACTATTTTATTTTTAATATTTATTTCCTTCACTTCTTTCCTAATTTTCATCATCTTCATCGTCTTCATCTTCTTCATCGTTTTCATCATTATAATTGTTTTCTTGAACATTATTTCCTTTATAAATTTCTTTAGTAGTTACTTATATATGATTTTCTAATTCTACATGCCAATTAAAAATAAATTCACAAATATTTTTATCTTCTTCCCTTTTAAAATTACATAATTAATAAGGAAATTAAGCTATAAGACTTTTTTTTTTATATGGTTCAATATCAAAATCTAAAAATAAAATAAATATTCAAAATATACTTATGTTTTTTTTTAAAAAAAAAACCTAATAAATGATCATGCTTTACTAATTAGTCAATTAAATCAGTTCCTATTTTTCTTTTGAATATTAGTTAATTTTGAATAATTTGTTCTTCTATTTATTATTTTTTTATGGGTGATTTTTCTTATTAATCAATTTGATTTTCTACGTTTAATTTAGGATGGTTTTTTAAAACTATTTTTTTTTTGAAAACTTTTTAAGGATCTTTCTCTTTTTTTTATTCGTCCAATTTTTCAGATTATTTTAATTCAGATATTCTTTATTTTATTTATTCTTTTTAGTTTTCAATCATTTGTTAAGATTTTTATTCTTCTTCTTGATCTTCTTCTTCTTGATCTTCTTCTTCTTCTTCCTTTTCTTCTGATTCTTCCTCTTCTTCTTCTTTTTCTATTTCTTCTTCTGTTTTTTAAGAAATTGGTTCGTCTAATTTTTCATCTACTTCTTTTTTTTAAATACTTTCTAATTTTTATTTTTAGAAAATGCTTTTTTTAATTTCTTTTGATTTTTCAAGTTAAATCTATATTTTTGGTTCTTATTCGTTTTTTTATTTTGGAGTTTGTGATTTTTTCCTTTGGTTTGTAACAGTTAATTTTTGCTAAACTTATTAAATATTTTTTTTCAAAATTTACTTAAATTTAGGCTTTAGTTTTTATATTTTATCATCTATTTTATTTTCTTATTCTTACTAAGGAAGATCTTCGTAAATTTCAGGTTATTATTATTCATGATAACTAGGTTTTTCTTATAAGATTTTAGTATTTTATTAAGATATTTATTATTATTAAATTGTTTAGTTAGGCTATGGAGGTGGTGATGGAGGCTTTTTTATATTAAAAAAAAGTTATTTATATGGATTTATTTTTTTACTCTATTTATTATATATTCATATATTGCTGAATACTCTTTTTTTGGGCTTGTTTTAAGTTTTCTTCTAGGAGTTGATTAATATGAACTATTTTTTTTTTTTTTTTTTATTTTTTTTAATTATTTTACACATTTTTAGAAGATTATATTTATTCTAAGGATTCTTGAGTTTCTAATTTGTTTTCATTAGAAAAATACTCATTTTATTTTTAAAAATCTTTTTTAGTTTTTTTTTAAGGTTTTTTTTTTTTTTAATTTTTCTGAATTTATTCTATATTTGTTTGTTTTGCTACTTCTTCTTCTTTCTCCTTTTTTTCTTCTTCCTCCTTTTTTTCTTCTCCCTCCTTTTATTCTTCTTCCATTTAAATTTAGCTTTTATATTCATAACTTTCAGATTGGATTTAACTTACACTTTCACTATTTTAATTAGTTTCTTATTTTTAATTTTATATTTATTATATCATTTTTTCTTTTTATTCTTCAATATTATCCAAATTCTATTCTTCATAAATAGTAAAAAAGTTTTTTTTTTAATTTTATCTGGATCAACTGCATAAAACTCATTAAAATTCTATTATTAAGGTATATACTAAGAAGGAATAATATTATTAAAAAATGAATCGTTTTTCTCTACTTAATTTAATAATTTTTAATATTCAGAAGTTGCAAATTAAATATTTTCTTCTTATGAAAAATTACTCTATTTACTCAAACGTTAATGTAATACTTTAAGAATAATTTTTTCAAGATTATTTTTTTAGTTTTATTTAGTAATATCATATATAAATGTATTTTGGCCTTTATTTATTTGTTGATTTTCTAAAAGAGCATAATTAAATGAAGAATCGCTTAAATTTATTTAATCTTTAGGAAAATTTGAAAGAATTTCTTCCATTTTATTTGGTATTATTGGATTTTTCATATTATTTTTAAGTTTTCTTTTACTTTTTTTTCGAGAAAATAATTTGTTAGATATTTTCTCATAAAACTATTCAAATTCTTTTTCTGCTTCTTTTTTATTGAATTAATAAAAGAGTAAGTATTATTCAATTTTGTATTTAAATTCTCTAATTAAAATTGAGATCTATTTATCTTTTATATCATCCATTCAATCTCCATAATTAATGTTGTAATTCATTATATTTTAGTAATCTTTTACTTTATAAATATTTGTATAATGATAATATGTTTTTTTCTGATTTAAGCATTCAGTAGAAAGCCCTTGATTTAAAAAAGAACTATTTGATTAAATAGAGCTTATTTGATTATTATATTAATTGAAGGAATTTTAGGAATCTATTTATTTTTGGATATAGGTTTGATCTTGGGTATTATTTTAATGATTTGTTAAAGATGATATATTGGCTTGCATGCTTTTTTTGTTTTTTCCATAATAGTTTATTTTGGAAAGAGTTTAATCTTGCTTATTGTAAAATGATTTTGATATGGACATTATTTATCGTTTTTAAAAAAATAATTTATTATAAAAAAAAATATTATGTGATATTTTTTTAATTATAAATTTATAAAATATATATATATAATTTTTATTTTATAGATCAAAATTTTCTAATTTTATTCGATAATTAGTACATCTTTTTCATAATATTTTTATTTTAAATTTACTTTTTAATTTTTTTATTCAAATAAAAAATACACAATTATTTTTATATTTTAATAAATGAAAGATTAATAAAAAATATAAGGATTTATTAAAAATTAAATCTTAAAAATTATATTTTTACAAAATAATATATATTATACATATATTTTATTCAATGGTTTTCGTTAGGATGACAATATTTCTTATTTTCTGAAAGTATTTAATATTTATCTATGCATA